CCCCTGACATTTGAACCCATTTTAATCCACCATCACATTTTGAAATCTACTAAAACTATACATTTTTCTAAAGTTCAATATCTGTAGATTTCATTCAATGTAAAATATGTCAACAATTACCTATTTAAATTACTCAGAGGCACTGTACTACCCCGGAGCAAATTTTAGATAGGGATTACAATCGTATGAAACACTAGCTGATTGGATGATTTAGTTGTGTGAGTCTTTAATGAATTAACCATTTCATATTTTTGGAAAAATCCCAAATGCGCATGCGAACGTTAAAATTGTCCCAAAACATTTAATGTCCTTGGGTAACCAACGTTACAGTTTCACAGATAATATGAAAGAATCTATTAATAACAATGCAAATATCAATGTTAAACTTATATGGATACATGTCAAAAATCCAACACGAGTTTTACCTCTTTTACAGCCATTGGATCAGCCTGTATACACGGCCCAAGCATTGTGATACTGAACAAATACTTCGACAAACAATGAGGATTATCAAACAGTCTCGCCATTTCCTGTGGTAGTCTAGGCGGCCTGATATTACCGATTCTTTTTCACGAATTAGTAAAGCTGTATAGCCTAGAGGGCGCTTTGATGATAACATCCGGTATTATTTTGAATTGTACTTTTGCTGGTGCATTGATGCGACCTATAGATCAGTATCAACTAGAAAGCAAATTGACAAATGAATCTTTCCTGAAAGAAACAGAGAAAACCCAAGACAAAAAAGAAATGACGAATGTGTCTGAAATTTCAAAAATAGATATGAATCAAACGTTACATGCTCCGGAACAACACACAGAATGTAGCACAACCGGGGAAATAATACGAAGAAAAACTAAAATCAATGATTTTTCTGGAAGTTGTATAAGTTTAACTCATTTACCAAATTCTGCGAACAATATTGAATTACAACATGGACAGGATGATATGGACGATTCAAAATGTGCCTCGAAATGCGGGATTCTATCACAGATCTTTGATTACACGCTTTTCAAAAACCCAATGTTTGTGATACTTATAACTGGAGTAAGTCTAGGGCAGATTGAATGTGCCCTAGCACATATTTTCATTCCTCCATACGCAAAAGATCAGGGACTGGCTGAACGTGACATTCCCCTGGTAGCCGGAACTATTGGAATCGCCGAGTTTATTGGCAGGTTTTCAGTTGGAATACTTGGTGATGTACAGTGCATTAAGAGACACTTATTGATTGCTGGTTCGTTAATTTTAACTGGAACTGTGACACATTTTGTACATCTGTATGATAATGTGTGGACGTTCGTGCTATTCTCAGCCCTTTACGGCATGTTCAGTGGCGTGCTGGTAGCTTTATATTCCCCGGTTTGTGTTGATTACTTAGGTATCGAACGTTTCAGAAAAGCCTATGGGATATGTTGCTGTGTTACTGGAATAGTTACCAGCGTATCGGCTCCTATATTTGGTAAATATCCCATTGGTACCAAGTCATACAACTGCTGTGTGGGTTTGTTTGCTTTTGCTTTTATTTTGCTCTTTTTTAATTATTGTTAAACCGTTTGTTTGCATTTTAAAATGATTCTTGTTATATGCCTTATTAAGGGAACAAAAAAAGGATTTCGTTTTCTGTTAACATTGCTATTTATGGTCTTTGAGGTAAAATCCTAAAAGTGTTAACATAAAAGAGGTTTTTCAAAATGCAAAAGACGCTTACTCTTCTGAAACACCTGGTCCTCAACGCCTTCATTCATGTCTTGCGCTACATCCAATTTGAGTTCGAATGACGGTTCAAGTGCGCTTTAGTTTTCTCTTGCGTTTGTTTTCTGAAAGGTATCATAAAGAAATGTCCTTTCTTATCTAAAGTACTGTCTACCGAATTACATAACGTAATCAAATCGGAACGAGCTTTCACCTTTGTTAATGTAAACCTATAAACCACTAAACCAATTTCTTGATTCTCATTTAAATATGATATTGAAACCATAAGGATAATACTATTTTTGTGTTAGAGAGTTCAATCTGTATTTACGAAATTCTGTTGTTGTTAATACACGATTTCATCCACTTTCGAAAAGCTTCACCTTCCGGGAAGACTTGTTCTGCCTCTGGTTTTAAGTGGGCATTCATGACGTCTTCCCTTTTGTTTTTGTTGTTGCAGGGTCCATGTTATTGTCCTTTTTGTCGACGTTGATTTCGAACCTTATCCTCTTGCGTGTATTGACGATGTGTTACAAATATATATCATTTACGTACCTGTATCAAAACAGTTATAACTTATAACATCGCATTGTATTCTTATATAAATATATGTATGTACAATTATGGGACCGCACAACGCACAAAAATAGCGTGCGCACACCGTGCATACATCGTTCACACACCGTCCGCATCGTCCACATATGGTGCGCACAACTGTGCGCTTTAGCAATCGTTCGCCCCGTTGTGCGCACAACTGTTCGATTTGGTATCATTTGTAGATCAAAATTACGGAATGACAAAAGTACGGAAGGCTTGTATGCGATAATGTACACTGTGTGTATATCTGTAATTTCTCATCACAATAATCAAGATTATACAATTTCACAGTGCGTGTTACACAGTATTACAGCGACCGTTAGGCTGTCAAGAATGGGTTTGGCTCCTAGGTAACAGAATAGGTAAATAACAATTTGATGAGTGTCCTGAATTATTACCTGACCAGTGCCTGACACACAGAGCTGATATGCGATACCGTTTGACCGTAATGAATAGTATTTGTTATTTGCATTCGTTTGCCAATAGCTCCCCTTGGCCTGGATTTTCACACCCCCGGCCTTACCCGACGAGTTACGTAAGTGCCCCAGGCGGGGAGAAAACTACGGTCCAGGTACATGTACAAAGTGGTTATGTTTACCTGTATACGGGATTGTGTTGTAATTTTACATGTGTCGATTAAGTTTGTTTAAAAACACAGCAAACACAATTTCTAAATATAAAAATGTATAGACAGAAAGATAAGTTCATAGATGTTGCTAGAATATAGAAACATACGTAAACATCAAGTTCATATGTTTAAACACGAACCCGTATAAATTGTTAAGGCATTCCTCAATTTACACCAACCACGCTTGTTATCGCACAACGTCCGTCCATCGTGCGCACAGATGTGCGCAAGCAATGATCGTCCAGCTTTTTATCGTTCGCCCATCGTGAACACACCGTTCACACACCGTGCACACATCGTGCGCACACCGCACATCGTGTAACGTTGTGCGATCCCACAACTGTATATATATGTGTATTTATATGCATCCATATCTATTCCAATAACATTTTTTTGTTTTCTTTATTGAAAGGAATCATGTACATATATATAATACCTAAGAAATATTTTAATAACAAAATGTAAATAACACACTTCAATTATTACTTGCGCATAATTGGTAAACTAATGCGGCAAATCAATCCGTTATAATGAGATACAATGCAAGCATAACGGTTGTCTTAACAAGCGGAAACTACCACCCTCATTTCAGAATATTTTCATACTTAGATGATGTGAATTTGCACTTTAATAAGTAAGAGCGACTGAATATTATACACTTGTGTTCTTGCAGTAATTGACATCTTGCAGTTTATAACAAAAACATTTCATATTTTTTCAGCATCCTGTCTCTAAACTAAAATCAATAAATCAATATAAGCATGACAAGAAGTGTTGTTCTTAGATATAAAACAACTTTTATTGAAGTATAAAAGTATCTTCTGCATACCTTTCTTACTACAGTAGCTTATGTAGGCATCATAAGTGTATGACGTTAAGTTGTAGGGTTATTACAATTAGTATATATCTCCATTACATATCTATTAAAACTTGCATGACGCTGCATTGCATTATAACTCTACATGTTTATTTTAACTTTATGAAGCATCATTGTGTATTCATAAACCGTGTAACACTCGATGTTGTGTGCATTGTAGGGTTTTTACGAGATTTGACTGGGTCATATGTCCTCACATTCCACGTAATGGGAAGCTGCGCCCTGATTGGTGGAAGTGTTTTTCTGTTATTACCCTTGGCGAAACGCTATGAGGACAGAAAGCTAGAAAGGACGAAAATACCACAACGGTTGCCACTAATATAGATGCAAATCTTACAAAGAAGTATGTGCGGAAAGCAGCCATTTTTAATGAGGATGCAAACTTATTTTTAAACATGGAAGCAAATGAATCATTTACAAGTGAACTGTGGTTTTTTTTTTTATCAAAAAACAATAAATGCAAACACATTGCATCGATACATTCATTGTAAACGAATGTTTAAATTCGAATTTGAACCATATCTGTCACTGCAGTACATCGAAGTGTAATGAGTATACAGTTAATTAATGCCCTTTCAGTCAATAGTCAAAACTTTTTTCCCGAGGTGTTGGAACCAACCTGGTGAACTATTGCCCAATGCCTACGGGGAACTTGGTAAATAGTTCATCAGGTTGATCCCAAAATCTCGGAACACAGTTTTGACTATTGACTGAACGGGCATGAATAAACTATTTTGTTACTAACAATTATCTGCTTGGACTACATTTGTATCCATATGAATCCCTGTTTTCAACTACATGTAATTCCAGTAAACCCTGCTCTGATATTTCTTGAAAACGTTCTCTTTGAGCGACAGCCATCTTCTGAAACGTCTGCTCGTAAACAAACGACGTCAGTGTTCGCAGAGCGCTTTAATCGAGATCAAATAATGCTTGAGTACGTTCGTTTCTAAGGAAACGTGTGCTAGTTCGAGAGCTTGTCATGAAAATATTTTTGCTGATTTGCTGTATATGAATTACGCTATTGAATATACTTTTTTTATTACTTTTCATATAGAGAGTGAGGTAACAATTTTTCTTGCTAGCGATTTCTGATTAAAATATTTCCAACAACGGAAAGTTTCAGAACCTTCGTTTTGCACTCGCTATTTTTGTGTAGGTCAATGCTATGCTTCCTTTTACATCGGTATCATAAACACATATTTGCATGAAAATTTCCCTTGTGTGTTAGTTTGGCACAAATAGATCCACTACATGTGTGTAACTTTGTTGCCTGAATGCACGGTGCTACCTTACGTTAATTAGAAATATCCAAACCAATTTTAGTTATTTATCATAAAGTTAACCATATTGAAAAGGATGTTACTATCGATAAAATGACTTTTTATGGAGTTGAATATCCTAGGATCTATTAGGAAACTGTTAGATTTAGTCGCCTTATTAACGATAATTTTTGCAGAGTAACATACTTTTATAATTGGGTATTCTACCTAGTATATCTTACATTTTTCTGGCCTTTTGTGCAATGTAAGCTAGTCCACTGTAGTCACACGGGTTACCCCTTCTGACTAAAATAATAAATCCCTTCAAATTCATTAATATATGTTATTATACAAATCAAACTATATAAAAAAATATTCATATGTGTTTATTGTATTTTCTAAAAATAGATTGGATTATTTTTATATCCTATTGAACAATTCAACAAAAATTGTTTAAAAGAAAATAGATGAACCTTAAATAATGATTGATGACAGGTGCTTTGTCCCTTTTTCGTTGTTAAGAGTTGAAGGCATTCGATTACTGTTGTCAGATTGTTTTCAGCATTTGTTATACATTTTGTATTCAGTTCTAAATACTTTTGCTGAATAAAAAGACATTTTCACAATGAAAGAACGGTTTTAATTTCTAGAAGTGACATGTTTTTTAGTAAAAGCAATTGTTATTATTATGATATGTTTGATACAATGTAACAGGGGACATTCGTCACAAAAATGTCCTTCATTTAATATACTAATGTTGATGTTATCATTCCAGTGTTCAGTACAGATCGGTAGTGTCAAGTTGTCAGGGGTTCCACAGGAGGCACAAAACTAAGAATGCACATCTTCCTGGTGCAGTGTGAACTCAGGCAGACCACTGTTTCAATAGTAAATGTCTATGCTCCTAAACAGTCTTATGGGAAGACCTTGAGCTGCCATGTAAGCAAGTAAGCAATTGCATGCACATCAATATCCCTCGAATGCACTTGCTTAATATTGAAACAAGTAATCAGTTTCTTTTTTATTGACAGTACTTTTTCAGTGATTACAGGAGACAAAACATAAATTTTGAATAGTTTTAACACTCAAGTAATAAATATAATATACAACATTTGATATAGTGCCCTATCTAGCTAGAATAAGCCAATCTAAAGCGTTTTACAGTACATAAATATACAATTTATACAATCGATTAACATTTACATTAATCAATACAAACTCTGAGGACTTTGCAGGAGCTGCCTTATCATGCGTTAACTACTAGGCGTAGGTCACCTGGCTGATATTTTCCTATGTGTGTACTCCTGTATGTGTGTTGGAGATGTATTGTATTCTGTTTGTAGTGGGACCTTGCTTCCAACGGTATCATTTATAGTGCCACCTCGCTTGAATGCTATAACACAAATACCGCAACATCCACCCCCAGATACTTCACCTGGGCTGTTGTAGTTGTGTGTGCAGGAGAAAAACACTTCCTCTGAATATTCAATGCGTTTTTTTAGAATCGTTGTGAATCCTTGTATCTTATTTTTTCCAGCATTTTTTTTTGGCAAAAAAAGCAAATTTATGAAACACTTTTAACAAAATGATTGGCTGCGTTCCGTTCAGAGTTGGAGACAGCAGCAGCACTCCCGTTCAAAGGTAGACAAAGCTGGAGCTATATGTTTATATAGTTTATCAAATTTTCAAGAAGATTTACATTTCAAACTATTTGAATTTGAATAATATTCCGGTTTGGCGAGAGGGTAACTTTCTACAAATCGTATCACGTTTGTCCTGGAAGCCGGTTTCTGTTCTTCCCAATGATTTACAACTACGGTCAGTTTTCCATTAAACACAGAAAACACGAACTGCGTGAGCATTGTCTACATATATGGTGCTAGATAAATAGTCTATGAGTGGATCTTTTATACACATGTACCGTCCCGGAACTACGTCACTCCACCGGAAGCGTGACTGCCGGCCTTCGATCTCCACAATAAACCTCACCCGTACTTCGTTCCCGTCTTCATCCTACAACAAACATCAACAACACGAGAACTTTATATTGCATGCCTTACCTAAAAAAATGTGTTTATTGATAATTTGAACTGATTTAAAGTATTGAAAATTTCTCTTGAGACTTAAATACGCATAATTTACTGATAATTGTGTTTAAACATGTTTAATTATGTTACAAATATTATTTCTTTATCTGAAAAAAGGAACATTTCGATTTAAATTATATATTTTTACAATAAAAAATATTAAATGTCCATCTGAATGTGAAAAATATAGCAAAACTTACGACCGACTTGTGCACATTGTGACGTCATGTTTCTATTGTGGTGTGATGACATGTAATTGTGACGCCATAAAGTTATCCTTTTGAAATAAACCTGAGAAGCCGTGGGAAGGGTAAAGCTGCTAGTTTTGAAGTCGAATGCTATATTTTTTTTATATATTTATATACGTTCTTAATGACAAATTGCTTCAGGTGTGATATATGAATTAATTGATTACCTGTAAGTATATACACCTAGACAAATATTCGTGACATCTCGATATCAAACCAATGAAAACACTGGATGAATATCTTCGGCTGCGCGGGATCTCTCGGATAAAGTACAACACCATACAGCCTACAAACGCTTTCAGGGTCAGACGCCTTGCCTGTTGAAGAGCTGCCCGTCTACTACTTCCTGATGCGAATGCTGCCTCTCGTCGGTATCCTTCCGTGGTTAAAGTTTCGTAATCTTCTTCCTCGGGAAGCGTACAATTTAATTTGTGTTCATTCCAATGTTGTCGCTGACACTTCTTTGAACAATAATTCGCCACCTTACATCGATTGCAATGCTCCATAGAGGACGCTGTTTTATCACAAGCCATACACTTCCGGTATTGACGTTTTTTGTTTTCTTCGCCTTCTTCTTCATGATTGTTATGGAAAGGCGTTCTGTTTCGTTTGTCGTTTTTCTTCTTTGACAAATTTTCTTTTCTCTGTGAGTTGAGGTTTTTGTTTTGATCACGACTCTGGATCCCTTTACATTTGACCTTGTGTTCACCTTTCCAGTCCGCCCTTTGACAGGCAGTGGAACAGTAATTCACTTGATGACATGCCGAACAGCGCGGAAGATTCAAGGCCTCCATACCACAATATCCACAGATATCTCCCATTGCTCTTTCAAATCTAAAACAATGCATAGATACATTGTAGAAATAGTATTTGGGGGAAGGAAAAACAAGTCATTAGCGGCGAGATTTCAGTAGTTTCTATCGATTTCGAAAAATTATTATAAAATGGCAAAAAATTGTACGTAATTGATTTCACCAATTCCCTCTCCATTAAAATAGTGCCATATGACAAGTATTTTTATAAGACGGTCGAGAAGGTGAAATGGTACGGCAATTGTTCGGCTCGGCGAGATTGTGCGTTTGAGGCCTGGGCAGAGCACGAGTCAAACGGTCGTCTTCCTTCGTCAGTTGGGTTTGGTTTCTATGATTTTTATATTCATATACATTACACTTGGCACGAAGTTAACAAAAGGTGTACCAATGTCTAAAAAGCAGTAATGTTAAAACTAATTATTCTCATATTTTTTGTTGGCAAGATGTACGATGCTCACGTTTGATAATTAAACATTGCAACTGGGTGTGCATCAAACATCTCATTTGAGATTACAGGAGTTGTCGTCGGAGATCATAGCTGGCTTATTAGGAAAAAAGATAATAATCGAATAAAAGATGGGTATGCAACAAATGAGAAAATAAAACTAAAACTGCCTGCCAAATATAAAATCTTAGAAATATTGACCTAATACTGAGAAACCTGCTAAATATCTAATAGCAGAAATATTGAATTTAAAGTGATTCACAATACTTGCAGAATGATCTTGAAATTCTGTCTTACAGTATTAAGTTAAGAAAACGTAGAAATGTTGCATTAGTGTCAATAATTAGAACTGAATATCAATATTGACAACAAGAACATATTCATATGCGGTTATACTGCAAAAATGGTGACGTTTGATGACGCGATCCACCTGCGAGTTGTGATCTTAACAGAAAGGCGGCGTAAGTAAGCCGGCTCTAACTAACAGGAGGGAGAGATATTATTTTCACCATCACAGAGCTGTCTCCTGTTTAAGCAATGATCTCCCATATAATGTGTATGAGTTATATGCGTGTGTGTCGTCACGATGAAACAATTAAATGGCGTCACATCATTACAATCAGATGACGTAATATTATTACTGCATTGTTGTCATAGAACGCATTTTAGGAATGGGAGAACTATATAATTCATTAATAATTAGAGCATGAGAAAACACGTCTAACCCCTGGGTAATATTCTCGAATTACAAGACAATGCTTACTCGTTGGTTGGGATTTCTTTGTCATATATCAAGTACGTTGCTTTAACTGGAAAATAAAATAAAAGGTTCTTCCGTTTGATGAAAACCAAAAATGATTCCTTTTTACGATTAAAACAATAACATACTGTATTAGAGAAATACATGTTATGTTAATAAACATGTACACGTGCAATTTGAAAACATCAGGTGTCTTGGTCCAAATGTCATTAATAAAAGTAAATAAAAATGAAATGTTGAAAATGAAACAGTCTTTTTCTGTCATCTACGTCCTTTTGTGTAAAACATTTACTATCCGTAAGATTCATCGGTTTGGAAATATATTTTTGTCAAAGTCGTTCCTAATACAAACACAATGTAGGCATCAATCCTGTTGTTTAAAGACCGACTGGTCCCCTTTTATTAGGATATGACTGAGTGAGCGATTTTTCACCTGTACAACGACGTCAACTTTGTCAATTGCTTGACTACATGACGTTTAGCCTATCGATGGAATAGGAATGGTGTCCCAAAACCTTGGAAACGATTTGTACATGTACATGACATCATAGAAATAAAAATTGGAGCAGTGCAGGACCTATCCGAGGGGGGTGGGGGATAGAACAAGTACGAATTGAAATCCTAACAAACAACTAGTTGGAATCACACCGTAACATGAAATACTGATCAACTGTGACGTCACTAACTTAGCTATGTAAAGCCATTTGTTGTTCACTATTTGTAATAATATAATCGTACATATACTTTCAGTATATTTGTTTTATCAGAATGACATCACCTACGAGATAAAACATACAGATAGCCTGCGTTCATTTAGTTCATTTCCCAGTTTTGGTTTTGTTTTGTACATAATGTAGGCCTGTACTTGTTTTATGTCCTGATAGGTTTGACCTTGCTTGGTTATAAACAGAATATAGTCATAAAGAAAATGTAAAATTAACAAAAATGAGTTGTAAGTAATATTTTAATATTGCCCTGTACTTGTTAGATGATCTACATGTGTTCACAGATTCATTGTTCATTGATTTACCTATAGATACATTGATTTATTAAAACTTTAGGTTGGCATCAAAATCACTTCCATAACACTACAAAGGCATACTTTTTACTTGTTAATTCCTAAATTGTTTTCATTTGTCCTCCTGAAATCGAGTATTCATTCCCATGTATGACATAATCTCTAGAAGCCAGGGACAAAAATATAAAAAAGCATATCCAACCCACCATTCTATCAATTAAAATATGTTTATTATGGGTCAAACTTGACATTATATGTAAGAAATGAAGAGAAAACTAATCATAGTGATAGTTGTACAAAATATAGTACCTAGTCTTAAGTTACCAAATTTTAATCATATACAATATTAAGTACCCTTCCTAAACATTGTAGGCAAAATACACCCGACACTGTGCCCTTCCTAGACATGAACAATCGAATTGACACCCGATAAAGTACCCTTCCTAGACATTGTCAACCGAAATGACACCCGATAATGTACCCTTCCTAGACATGAGCAATCGAATTGACACCCGATAAAGTACCCTTCCTAGACATTGTCAACCGAATTGACACCCGATAAAGTACCCTTCCTAGACATTGTCAACCAAATTGACACCCGATACTGTACCCTTCCTAGACATTGGCAATCGAATTGACACTCGATAAAGTACCCTTCCTAGACATTGTCAACCGAACTTACACCCGATAATGTACCCTTCCTAGATATTGTCAACCGAATTGACACCCGATAAAGTACCCTTCCTAGACAGTGTCAACCGAATTTACACCCGATAATGTACCCTTCCTAGACATTGGCAATCGAATTTACACCGGATAAAGTACCCTTCCTAGACATTGTCAACCATGTTCTTTCTCAAATATCATTCACATGTGTGTCACAAGCTTCACCGAGAACGATCAATTGATCTCTCTAGTGTGATACTGTCTATTGTAGAATAGCACGCGTTGTGGAATCGTAATAAAGTTAAAATGACGATATTCATTTCCTACTAGTATTTTTGTTAGCAAACATTCCAGACTACTGTTAATGGAAAGATACGAGAATAGTAATCTTTCACTTCCTTAATGATGTGACAGAGAAACGTTCAGCCCATCTTCAAATTCACAGACGATACTTACCCTTTACCTTGGTCGATATGTCGGGTTCAAAACGAGTATCAATTATGACAGCTTTGCCGGTATATCAAGTCCAGAGTTGTTTTTATACCCCAATCAGACTGTCTACGTTTAATTTGGACAACATCAAACGATCGGATGTGTATTGCTCTGGCAGGTATATATAGGCTTAGCGACCTCTGTCGCTGATAACCTGTGTATTACAGGGATATATATTTTTCGGAAATGCTGACATCATGATTTGAAAGTGAAAGTGACCTGATTATTGGAAAAAGTTTGTTGTGTAACTATACTGCTGACGTAATACTGAAGTATATTTGTATGTACATGTATTGAGTATTTGTCTTATCAAAACGTGTTGAAAGGCAATAAAGATAACACGAATATGGGTTACCTATATATTTTCACATTATTATTTTATACGTCACCGTCGTGTAACCTAAATATGTATAACGTACATTCCCTTCCAAATGATATTCATACTGAGAAACTAAATACCAGTTTCACTTGTACTTTGGTGTTTAGTTTGCTGTAATTATTAAGCACCGATTTCAGATACTAAACGGTCCGATAAAGAGGCTCCAGGTTAAACATTATTATCTTTTGTTCCTCAAAATGAAGATTACAATGCATTTTATATTAACGAAGACAAACTAATATAGCAATGAAATCAGAACAATGGATAATTACATACCGAGAACAATGTGTTTATGCTATATGAACATTAGGTAAAGTATTTTCTCCTTCGCGGTTATATTAGCATGTGAATAAATCAGCTAAAAATGTGTAATGAATATGTTTGTAGATTTTAATTGAACATACTGTAGCGCAATATGCAGTATCGCTTAATTGTCGGGAGAGATGTTCGTACTGACAAACATAAAAAATAACCATTTATATATCTGACTTTCGGTTTTGATTTGAGTTTGCTGCGGTAATCGATCAAAAATATCTACCAGGTACTACCAGCCTCAGAGATAAGTATAGAGCAGTGTAGAAATTAGGTATAGTCAACATGTGAAATTATTATCTGTTATCAGTGACAAATTCTGAAGCCCTTTCCAAATCAAGATAATGACAAAATACCATGAGTCTAAACCTTTTAAACAATATCGATTTTTTTATCATAAATTGTTCTCTATTTTAGCAAACCCCAACAGTTTGATCTACGTCAATGGTTGACTTAATGAATTTAATTGAAATAATACAATATTAAGGTGCTGATGAGTATGCAACAAGGTAGGGAGTTTTTGTTTGAAACGCTTACATCGACTGACAATCTATAATCAAGGAAGGGTCCATTTTGTAGTAAATTTGTACTTGTTTCAAACGTCCTCCAGAATATATTAACCTTCAGTTGCAGATATCGAACAACGTCTAGCGGGTGGGGATAGTGGTATCATGTCTGAATGTGTCAGTTTTTACCAACTGTCTCTTAGGTTTATTAAGTTATATATTTCAGAATGATATTCAACGTCTCTTGGTATCTTATGTACTCGTTTTATCTATTTCTTCTTTTTTCAATTTTACTTATATTTTAAAAATCTTTCCGCTCAACCTAAAAAGGATTTGCATAAATTGAAAGTCACACACTGATATCTCAAACACGTTATTTCACATTTGAAGATTTCCAAATACAATTTACAAAGTGTATTTAAAGTGTAAACACCCGAACGGTAGACGGGTCATCTACTCGGATGCCCACGGAGCCGTCGAGGAACTGGTGGATGTATGGATCTGCTATGCACAGGTACCGTCCGGGAACGACGTCACTCCACCGGAAATAAGGTCGGGGCTCGTCACGCTCAAAGTAAAACCCCACACATACTTCATCTCCATCTTTGTCCTAGAAGACAATACGTAATATACACAAAAATGTCGCCGAACCTTTGTTGATAGAAACACATACACGTTTGCAGTAAACAATACACAACTTGATGTCCACGGCACGCTTTTTGCAAAATGGTAGAATGTGCGTTCTAAATTGATAAGAATGATAAGTTGGTTTTAGAAGTTTAGCACATGTTATTTAAACCAGGTTAACGTTAACGTTGTTTAACATTGGATGTTTGGTAACATATTTAACTCATTTCCCTGAAATATCATACACATTTTAAGAGTGTATGATATGAATATAAGTATTTTTACGAGTAGGAAGCTGTGCAAAAATACTAAAATAATCTGACAAATGATTGAAATAATTTTTACATCATATAGATAGATAGATAGGCTGGTGCTGATCATCAATATGTCATATCTTATCCTATAGCTAAACAATTAATACAGTTGCTAAATATTAAACAAATTTGTATAACAGCTTACCTGTAAATATATACAATGTCGCAACACATATATGTGATATCGCGAAATAAACCCCACAGCTACTCTAGAGGTACCACGTGGTCTCATTCCTAAGTGCTCGTGTGGGATCTCCCGGACGAAGTCCAAAATTGTGCAGCCCGGGAAAGCCTTCCACGTCAGACTCTTAACTTTGTCGAGGGCGCCTGGTTTAACATGAGAACGTTGTGCAAGGTTTGGTTTTTCTGGGAAGGGAAGAGAGCGATTAAACGCACCACTGCCTGTCGACCTTGCTGATTCTGAGGCGAACGTTTCCTCTCGTCGATAACCGTCTGTAGTTATGGTCTCGTGAACGTCCTTTTCCGGATCTTTACATTGTAGTTTGTGACTTTTCCAATCCTGACGCTGGCACATCTTGGAACAATAACACACCATCTTGCACCGAGTGCATAATTTAACCGAGTCGTTTGCTTTGCCACATACACAACAACTACTGTAAGGAGCACTTACCGTTCCTTTCTTATTACTCTGTTTATTATGATCGTCATCAAAGTCAAGTACACTTCCTGATAAATTATCGGCACAAAAAAAACGGTTCGTTCCAATTTGTCTTGAGAATTCCATAAACTGTTCATGTAATATCCCATGCAATGCTTCCGATTGATACAAAGTTCCACCGGTTGCACTGCCAATATCAGGAATATTATAGAAATCTTTTGATTTTTCGGCTTGTTCAGTTTGTTCACGTTTTTGAAGTTCTTTACACTTGATCTTGTGCTGACGTTTCCAGTCTTCCCTCTGACACACGGTGGAACAGTAGGACACCTGTTGACATGCAGAACACCGCCGAAGACTCAAAGTTTTCTTATCACAAAATCCGCATTTGTTTTCCATTTCATCAAACCTGTAATATAAGATTCACATTATATATATATACTGTGAACCTTAATTACGTTATTCGTATATAATAACTGTATGGTAAGTCTTTAAAGTTTGTTATATGCACAGTAGAGATCATGAGATGGCTATCTTGCATATCTTCCAGCCGCTCACTACTCTTTTTATAAACCTCCACAATTGAATAAAATATGTACTTGTTTTGAACACAAACAGTAATTGAAATATATTTAACGGGTTTTCGAAAAAGTGCAAACCACCAACCGTCGTTATGGATTAAGTGGAATTTGACGAAAAGATTACCACCATGCTGTGTGAAACATACGCGGTGCTGACAAAAAGATCCCACACCAACAGATAACAGTAAATTGTTCACTCCCACGGAGGTGAAGGACAACTACACTATCATCGATGAACAGTATAAAATGGTCTTCCCTACATATATATAAAACACTCCACGCACATACTGTACGCCTAAGATCTATAAGCCAGGCTAATTGTGGATAACACTGGTTCCACTTGGTACAGTGTATCAAGATGGCTTACAGGCACTCTGGGTTTACTTGTTGGAAAAAGAGAACATCGCGTGAAAAACTCAAAATATTTTGATCTGGCTGACATAACTGTTGAAAAGTATGACACTGACATGACGATGTGTCACCTAACCAATACACTACTTGTTGACACCATCGAGTTGCCGATATTTGCAGCACCACTTATTTCTCATTTAGAGAGACAAAAGGTTGGATCAGCAATTGGAAATCCAGTCTGCACGAAAGTATTAGTGATGTTGGTAGCTTTCAATTTAAGGGTCAGAATATTTCCATTTGAAAGTTAGAAAGTATTAAAATCATATATTGGGAAACGACGGAACCCTCAAACGCTTTACAACTGTCAAGAAAATTTGTCACAAATGCATAACTGTGGTATTTGACCATTACGAAAACCAACACCTATTTCTATGTTATTTTAACCAATCCCGGTTCCTGGAATGTAAAATAAATATGTTATTCTCCTTACTGTCTGGGTGACATAGTTACAATTGTACAGTAGCCGACATTACTTCGTTTAGGCGGGGGCACAGTCAACGGGAGAGAACTAGCGCATATACGTTCAGGAAAAAGTTCAGGGTTGGCTCCTGTGGTAGGGATGATGGTAGCGAATTCCAGTTAACAATAGTTCTAGGGAAGAATGAATATTTATACAAATTTGTGTGGGTTGATATTTGATTAATGATGTGGGCCCCTCTGGTTCTCCTGTCGCCTGATGTTATGAATTGGGATGGATCAATAGCCACATGTCCGTTTATTATTTTATATAACATCATGAGCCTGGCTTTTGTTCTTCGCAGGGCTAGGGGCTCCCAGTTAAGTATATTTTTCATGTTGGTGACACATCCAAGCTCTCTAGATCTATGATCATTAAATACGTATCTGGCAGCCCTACGCTGTACATTTTCAATTGCTAGGACCTGGTCTGAAATAAAAGGGTCCCAGCAAGTGCCTGCATATTCTAGTGATGGTCTTACTAGTGTGGTGAATGTCTGGGTTTTGACTTTTCTGGTGCATGATGACATGTTGCGACGCAGAAATCCCAGTGTCCTATTTGCCTTGTTGGTGATGGATTGTATGTGTTTATCCCAATTAAGGTCTGAGGTGCAAGTGACCCCTAGGTATTTGCTAGAGTCTCAATTTTCCAAAACTTGATTGTGCAGGGAGTAGCTAAACTTAAGTGGATTTTTCTTTATAGATATGTTGATGATAGAACATTTTTTGGCGTTAAAATTCATTTGCCATTTACCCTCCCAGATTTCCAATAATTTGAGGTCGTTTTCCAGTTTCTGACAGTCTTCTAATGAATTAATTTCTGTATATAATAAGCAGTCGTCAGCAAAGAGTTTGATGTCGCAGGAAACTGAGTCGATGATGTCATTAATGTATACTGAGTCGATAATGTCATTAATGTACACCTCGCAATCAACACATGTTTCTCATACCCAGCTTTTTCTTGTTAAATATTGAATGTCGTCAACGAGGAATTTAACGACTGATATTTCCGGACACCATGATGAGTGGCCGTGTAAATGTTGTGTGCTAACATCACTATCTGGTGTCATGAAGGCGTTGGAAGGACTAGGGGCGTTAAGGGTCATTTCCGGCCTCATCTAGAATTTTATGATTAGTTGTTATAATTATTATGTGGAATAAATGAAGTACGCAAATATGAGAATTTAAATTAATTCGACAACTGGTTGAGGAGATGTGGCATTGCAAAGAGAGACATAACCCCGCTTTTTCATAATGAAATGCGTGAATATCGTCTGTTGTGCGCTATTTGATTGACAATTGGCCATTTTAAAGGAAATTAACTCTGAACACTCTTCATTTTTTAAAGTCCTCCGCATGCAACAAATAAATTAATATTTAATACGATAAAACATTGTCATACCAGTGTTCATTTGTAGAAAGGAATGTTTTTTTCTCAGATGCGGAGGCTTTTATTTCTGCATGCTAACTGTCCCAAAACACCTTATTTTGGCTATTTCTGCATAAACACGCAATTTTGGTGCTATGGTATGGCGTCTACGCATGCGCATTGGACATTTTCTACACCAAGATTGATAGCCCCAATTAACCAATATGACACTGAAGTCCTCTAGTATCAGACAGTGCATTATCACTTATTCCGACGACGGCCTCCAAACAGAATGACATGGCGGTGTTTTCAGTACACCAGAACCTGCTACATAGATAGATCGAAATATGTTGTTATATACAAATCTATGCGTCGCTATCATTTCCACCTGTCTAACACTGCATTCACATGCATCTTTTTCTCTCGAATGTCTGCTTTCGAATTCCTCGAAGTAAAGTTAGCATTATACTCCAACCTCACATTTTGCTCGCACTCTGCTCGCACCATCCAACCCTGCTCCACAAGCACTCACCCTTCTGTCACCACTCATCCTACTCCCACCAGTGATCATCTTCATAAACACCAACACCATCCTGCCAGAGTAAAGAATGACATACCTGTACCAACACTCGCCCTGCACACACAGCCCATTCTACTTGGTCACTATACACCGTCAACGGTAACCTACACCTACCCACGCATCTAGCATTCTTATACGATTACCCAGTGTCATGACGAAGTATGTATACACCTTGTAAGAGCTATGAAACTATGTTTTTTTTAATTAAGATTCAATGAAGCATTTTAACTGTATGCATGTACTGAGTGTTTCCCGAGTACATAGAAAATGAGAAGTGGGTTCAGGTACACAGATTGAAATGTATAAAACATAAAACTTGTATTTGTCTGTCGGGTATTTGAATGATATCAAAGCTACTAGAGCTACAAGACAGTATCTGTTTAACAAAATATCAGTTTAAACCTTTGCATCAGGGGGTTATAGAGTGTATAGTTAAATCCCCATCTCAACACTTACAGAACAAAAACTCTGTGTATATATACACCCTAGTGCGTAACAACAGTTCTCGGTTGTCATTGATGTAATTGTAACTAGAGACTTTCCCAAATTGATAAATGGTAAAACTTTAACAAAAAGATTGTAACGTTGGACGACCGGTCGGTAGCTGAGAGAATACAGAACGATTTGTTATACAATATCTACAAGTTTATTTACAATAATTATTGAAGAAAACCCCCATAAGTATGTACTCACACTCACAAACACACATTCATACATTCAACACTAAATGTCATTACTCCGGTTGGTGGAGTCACAGTTGCCGCTTGTATATCAATAGTTCCACTGTCTATGTGGGCAATACCCAATACAATATGGATAGGATCCGATGGACTAAACAAGTCTCACAAACTTGTGTTCCGCTTCACCATATAATCCACGTCCGCTAATCATGGATATATACCCCACCGCAGAAGGGTCTAGCACCGATGTGCTGAGAACGGTCTAGCACCGATGTGCTATAATGCAGGCCTCCGGCTCCGCAGATGACCTGAGGACTGCTCCCTCACTGACGAATGATGTCAGTACAACTATGAGTTGTCTGCCCTTGCAGAACTGACACACTGTGTGAAGCACCAGTTGTCTGCCCTTGTGGAACTGACCCAATGTGTGTCGCGCCAGTTGTCTCGTCCACATTCCTCTCACCTACCAACCCGTTCATGGAAATCTATAATTAATGAACATACATACTAACACTATTGCCCATACACACAATACAGTAAAACCTAGTTATAATATCACCGTAAATAGTACATGTAAATATACATTGACTCACTACATAGATATATCAATGTATGGACGTTAGTACCAAGCATGTTCATGTATTTGATTAACACTTATTATGCGGACTAATTATAATATATCCAACTAGATAAATTATAATAAGGAATACTAACCACCATAATATCGGATATCAACACTAAAGGATAGATACCGTAATCTTACAGAAAGTGCCTCACGCTTACCTGTACAATCACTAATGCGTAACACCTGCGTACGTGCATTAAAGTATTTAAACTAACATTTTGATCTCTTATACAAGTATAACATATGTATACTAAATCATAGATATATATACATATTCATAATATGGATACTTAGTTAATATAGTAGGGTACTAACATGCATATCCCTATATACAATACATGTAAACAATGTTCCGCATGAACGAACCGCACCTACATATTAACGATACACAGTACATGCACATGAATTAGCTTATTGCGGTCATTCACCAGTAACTGATGCAACATATATAGCGTATAATTAGCAACAAAATCACTATAATACTGACTTACCACATCTCAGGTGTTATGTGTCTGAAGTCCGGGTGGTTTTTTATGGCACGTTGACATGCACGTCCATCTTGGACAGATCGGCTCTCGTGCAGTACTTTTACCACTCTCGGACGCTCTCGCAAACACATACTCACCTCGAAGCGGGAATATTTAAAAACCGAGATTCATGCAAATAAGTATAAAACAATATACATTATCAATACTAACATAAATATATATATACAACATCTGTACCAATATGCGATCGTGACACATCCCCCCTTTCCGAAGAAAGTGGATACACTTTTAGTTCATTCACGACGCATTGGAAATACTGGCTAAACAATCATGGTGAATTTATGACCTACTGAGATAGTCGGCCCCAATATTGTCACTTCCTCGAATTGCCTGAATTCTAAACCGGTAAGGTTGAAGAAGTAGAGCCCATCGCATCAGACGACCGTTGGCAGTTTTCGAGCGTTGTAGGTAGGTGAGTGGCTGGTGGTCTGTTTCCAACACAAATTCCTTCCCGTACAGGTATTGTTCGAATTTCTGGACAGCCCACACAATGGCCAAACACTCTTTCTCAACCACTGCGTAATTCCGCTCCCTCTGTAACAACTTCCTACTCGCGTACGCAACAGGTAACTTCAAACCCTCCTCAATCTGCAGTAGTACCGCCCCTAATCCGGTATCAGATGCATCTGTCCTCAGGATGAAATCCTCATTGAGATCAGGAAGTTTTAGAATAGGTTTTGCTGTCAATGCCCTCTTCAAAGTTTCAAATGCCTTCTCCTGACTATCACCCCATTCCAATCTATTTGGGAACCCCTTCTTGGTCAACTCCGTTAAAGGTACTGCAATAGATGCAAAGTTTGCGATGAACTTCCGGTAAAACCCAGCTAAACCAAGGAATGATCTCAACTGTGTCTTTGTCTCAGGTCTCAGCGCTTGTTCAATTGCACTTATCTTCTCAGGTTGTGGTTCCAATCTCTGGTCACCGACAACATGCCCCAGACATTCCAGTGATCGATATCCTATGAAACACTTTGTTGGTCGTGCTGACAATCCCGCCTTTCGTAGTCTCCGGAACAGATCTCTAAGAACATACATGTGATCTTCAAAGGAATGCGTATAGATCAGAATGTCATCTACAAAACTATCGACATTTCGCAACCCATCTAGAACTTTCCTCATCAGTCTGCAAAATGTCGCTGGGGCGTTTACCAGACCGAAGGGCATCACACGAAACTGAAACAGTCCCACTGGAGTGATGAACGCGGTCTTCTCCTTCGCTGTTTCAGCCATCGGTACCTGCCAATACCCTTTGGTGAGGTCCAACTTCGAAAAGTATCGGAAACCTCCAAGCCGAGAAAACATATCCTCTGTGTTAGGCATCGGTTCTGCGTCAAAAATGGTTACTCGGTTGAGTTGGCGGAAATCGATGCAGAACCGGTTCGTGCCATCCTTCTTCTTTACTATCACCACAGGTGCAGCATATGGCGAATTTGATGACTCGATTACCTTCATCTCCAACATCTTATCTATCTCCTTTTTGATAGTCTCCCTGGTGCTAAATGGAAGTGGATATGGCTTCACCCGAACAGGATCTCTCGAAGTAGTCAAAATATCATGCTCCACGAAATTAGTCTCTCCTGGAATATCTGTAAGTACATCCCGAAACTCTTCCAGCATTCTTGTCATTCCCACCTTCTGTCCTTCAGTCACTATTTCTCCTATCGACACATCGTCTAATGTCTCTTTCCCTGTCGGTTGTGGAAACACTTCTAATTCTCTGTCCAATAGGTCATGATCTGTACCCTCGTCATCATCAATGACAGCGACAGCAATATGTCCTGGTGTACCGTCACTACCCTTCTGTCCACGACTAGTGTTCTTCTTGTCTTCCTCACTCCTCTCATAATATTTCTTCAGTAGGTTGACGTGTAATGTCTTCAGTTTTCCTCCAACCTCAACTCTGTAGTCAATAGGTCCTAGACGTTCCTTCACTTCGTAAGGTCCACGCCATTGCAGCATGAGTTTGTTCTTCTTGGTAGGAAGTAATACCAACACCTTGTCCCCAACCTTCAGATTCCGTAGTTTTGCTCTTTTGTTATAGTGCCTCTTCTGGCGACCTCTTGCCACTTGTAGACTCTCATTGGCAAGACGACAAGTTTCCTCGAGCTTTTCCCTCAAGTCAACAACATATTGGTAAGTTGTCTTTACTTCATCATCTGGAAGTTCTTTAGTCCATAGCTCCTTGAGGATCTTCATTGGCCCACGCACAGTCCTTCCATAAAGAAGTTCAAATGGCGAAAATCCAAGACTCTCCTGTGGAACTTCTCTATAAGCAAACAGGAGTGCGTTAATGTATTTGTCCCAGTCTCTGCGTCTCTCTGCGCACATCCGGCGTAACATCTGTTTTAGCGTTCCGTTGAACTTTTCCACTAGCCCGTTACACATCGGATGATATGGTGTCGTAGTCAACCGCCGAAAGGAGAGAAGCCTACTTACTTCTTTCATCACTTCTGATGTGAATTGAGCCCCTTGGTCGGTCAACATCTCTGATGGAATGCCCACACGACTGAAAATATCGACTAACGCCTCTGCCACTCTCTCTGCCTCTATTCCAGGTAAGGGTACTGCCTCCGGGTACCTAGTTGCATAGTCAACAACGGTAAGGATATAGCGATTTTTCCTGTCTGTCGGAGGTTGAATCGGCCCCACCAAGTCAACTGCAACTCTTTTAAAAGGTGTATCAATCAACGGCATAGTTCCTAGAGGTGCCTTGACCACCCTTCCTTTGGGAGATGTACGTTGGCATATATCACAAGATCTGCAGAATCTTGTAGCATCAGCTTGTACTCCTGGCCAGAAAAACTCTGAAAGAATTCTCTGCCCTGTCCGTCGAATACCTAGATGTCCTGCCATAATCGATTCATGAGCCATCTTCAGAACTTTAGAGCGAAAAAGTTCTGGTACAACCAGTTGTCGAAATTCTCTACCAATTGCTACCTTTGGACTTTGAAATTTCCTGTATAGAATTCCGTTGCGCACAAACAACGATGATGTCCCACCATCATTTCGTTCGCAAACTTCAGCTGTCTCCGCGAGCCTCCACATCTTACTAAGTGACTTGTCATCCTTTTGCTCACGCTTTAGGTCATCTATCGTACAATCCTGTAATGCTGATGGTACTTTCATTGGCCTATAGTGTTTTTCTGTTTCCTTCCTTTGAGCTCTAGTTTCCACCGCATGTACAACAGGTTCTTTAACCTTCCATTCTGGATCTGGATCCTTAGGTTCTCTCGCACCTTCAACATCTCCAGTGATGAGGTCATATAATGGCGACTCAAGTGTCCACACTTCTACACGAT